GGACAGGTCAAGGGGGCGGGATGAGGTTAGTCGGTAGGAGATGGGGGTGCGGCTTGAGGTGGGAGGAGGGGATAGGTGGGAGGAAGAACAGGTTAGGGAGGCGGGGACGAGCTGGACTGGTTTTGGGATGCGGTAGGGGGACGGGAGATTTTGAAGCTTGCGAAATCCACATTGATACCATTGGGCTGCAGGGTTCCCAAGCGGAATATGAGTTGCTGTTTCTGCAACCTTCGGGTGGCATCGTTGTGGCACTGCAGGAGACCCAGGATGGACATGTCGTCTGAGGAACGGGAGGGGGAGTTGAAATGGTTCGCGACTGGGAGGTGCAGTTGTTTATTGCAAACCGAGCGTAGGTGTTCTGCAAAGTGGTCCCCGAGCCTCCGCTTGGTTTCCCCGATGTAGAGGAGGCCACAACGGGTACAGCGGATGCAATATACCACATTGGCAGATGTGCAGGTGAACATCTGCTTGATGTGGAAAGTCTTCTTGGGGCCTGGGATGGGGCTGAGGGAGGAGGTATGGGGGCAGGTGTAGCACTTCCTGTGGTTGCAGGGAAAAGTGCCGGGTGTGGTGGAGCTGGAGGGGAGTGTGGAGCGGACAAGGGAGTCACGGAGAGAGCGGTCCCTCCGGAAAGCAGATAAGGTTGGGGAGGGAAAGATGTCTTTGGTGGTGGGATCGGATTGCAGATGGCGGAAGTGTCGGAGGATGATGCGTTGGATCCGGAGGTTGGTGGGGTGGTACGTGAGGACGAGGGGGATTCTTTTTTGGTTCTTATTGCGTGGACGGGGTGTGAGGGATGAGTTGCGGGAGATGCGGGAGACACGGTTGAGGGCGTTCTCGACCACTGAGGGGGGGACGTTACGGTCCTTGAAAAACGAGGACAACTGAGATGTACGGGAGTGGAATGCCTCATCCTGGGAGCAGATGTGGCGGAGGCGAAGGAATTGGGAATAGGGGATAGCATTTTTGCAGGAAGGTGGGTGGGAGGAGGAGTATTCTAGGTAGCTGTGGGAGTCGGTGGGCTTGAAATGAATATCAGTTTCTAGGTGGTTGCCCGATATGGAGACAGAGAGGTCCAGGAAGGGAAGAGAGGTGCTAGAGATGGTCCAGGTAAACTTAAGGTTGGGGTAGAAGGTGTTAGTGGAGTGGGTGAACTGTTCGAGCTCCTCGTGGGAGCACGAGGCGGCGCCAATACAGTCATCAATGTAACGGAGGAAGAGGTGGGGTTTAGGGCCGGTGTAGGTACGGAACAGGGATTGTTCCACGTAACCTACAAAGAGGCAGGCGTAGCTTGGGCCCATGTGGGTACCCATGGCCACCCCCTTTGTCTGTAGGAAGTGGGAGGAATTGAAAGAGAAATTGTTGAGAGTGAGGACGAGTTCGGCTGAGCGGATGAGGGTGTCAGTGGAGGGGGACTGGTCGGGCCTGCGGGACAGGAAGAAATGGAGGGCCTTTAGGCCATCTGCATGGGGAATGCAGGTGTAGAGGGACTGGACGTCCATGGTAAAGATGAGGTGTTGGGGACCGGGGAATTGGAAGTTCTGGAGGAGGTGGAGGGTGTGGGTGGTGTCACGGACATAGGTAGGGAGTTCCTGGACCAAGGGGGAGAAAATGGAGTCCAGATAGTTGGAGATCAGTTCGGTGGGGCAGGAGCAGGCGGAGACAATGGGTCGACCAGGGCATTCAGGTTTGTGGATTTTGGGAAGGAGATAGAAGCGGGCAGTGCGAGGTTGGGGAACGATGAGGTTGGAGGCCGTGGGTGGGAGGTCACCTGAGGTGATGAGGTTGTGGATGTTAACTATACACTTGTTTCATTTTTTATTTGCATTTGGCTGATTTCATTTCCTGTACCATTCATGGGACCTGATCAGATGTATCCCAGAACTTTGTGGGAAGCTAGGGAAGAGATTGCTGGACTCCTGCTGAGAAATTTGTTGCATCAATAGCCATGGGTAAGGTGCCAAAAGACTGAAGGTTGTCTAATGTGGTGCCATTATTTAAAAAAGATGGTAAGGAAAAGCCAGTGAACAATGGGCCTCTGACGTCAATGCTGGGCAAGTTGTTGGAGGGGATTCTGAGGGACAGGATTTATATGCATTCGGAAAGGCAAGGACTGATTAGGGTAGTCGACGTGGCTTTGTGTGTGGGAAATTTTGTCTCACTAACTTGATTAAGTTTTTTGATGAAGTGACAAAGAAGATTGATGAAGGCAGAGAGGTAGAAATTGTCTATATGGACTGTAGCAAGGTGTTCAACAGGATGGTAGACTGGTTAGCAAGGTTAGTTCATGTGGAGCTGGGGGAGGTAGCCAATTGGATACAAAATTGGCTTGAAGGTAGGAGACAGAGGGCTGTAGTGGTAGAGGATTATTTTTCAGACTGGAGGCCTGCAACCAGTTTTGTGTCGCAAAGATCGGTGCTGGGCCTACTGCTTTTCATCATTTACATAAATGATTTGAATGTGCATGTAGGAGGTACAGTAAGTAAGTCTGCAGATGACACCAAAATTGGTGATGTAGTAGACAGTGAAGAAGGTTACCTCAGAGTATAACAGGACGTTGATCAGTAGAGCTAAGGAGTGGCAGATGGCATTTTAGATAAATGTGATGTGTTGTAAAGGTGTTGGTAAAGCAAATCAGGGCAGGGCTTATATACTTAATGGCAGGGTGCTGAGGAGTGTTGCCAAACAAAGAGACCTTGGGCTGCAGGTCATACTTCCTTGAAAGAAGAATTGCAGATAGACAGGTTAATGGAGAAGCTGTTTGGTACACTTGTCTTTATTGGTCAATGCATTAAGTATAGGAGTTGGGATGTCATGCTGTAGCTGTACAGGATATTTATTAGGCCACTTTTGGAATAATCTGTTCAATTCCAGTTTCCCTGCTACAGGAAAGATGTTGTTAAACTTGAAACGGTTCAGAAAGGATTTACAAGGATGTTGCCAGGGTTGGAGGGTTTTAGGTATAGGTAGAGGCTGAATAGACTGGGGCTATTTTCCTTGGAGTGTCAGAAGCTGAAGCGTGACCATATAGAGGTTTACAAAATCATGAGGGGCATGAAGAGGATGTATAGCCAAGATCTATTTTCCAGGGTAGGGGACTTTCTGGGACAAAACTAGAGGGCATAGGTTTAAGGGGAGAGGAGAAAGATTTAAAAGGATTTAAGGGGCAATGTTTTCATGCAGAGGGTGATGCGTGTATGGAATGAGCTGCCAGAGAAAGTGGAGGGGGCTGATACAATTACAACATTTAAAAGGCATCTGAATGGGTACATGTATAGAAAGGATCTAGAGGGATATGGGCCAAATACTGGCAAATGGAACTAGATTAATTTAGGATATCTGGTCAGAGCACACGAATTAGGCCAAAGGGCCTGTTTCCATGCTTTACAACTCTATGATTCTATGACCTGGATTTTGCATATCAGATTCAATCCTGATTATTCATTCATTTTTATTTATTGGTTTCTGATGCATTCCCGGATTTTTCTAAAGTAAAAATTATCTCTCTCACTTATGTTTAACCTTTGAGCATGATTTCATATTTTGTTTGCATTCTCTTTCTGAGCCGCAGCAATATCACTTCTTGTTGTCTTAGTCCTCTCTCTTGACCTGTTAGGCAATCCAATTTTTCCCCGGGTTTTGAATGTAGGACCTCCAATAAAAACAAGGTTGGTTGTTTCAGGAAAAAAAAGATGTCCTGTAAGAAAGTGTTTATTTTCAGAATAATTTCAGAATCAGATAAGTTTGCTGTTTTCTGTCAGTATACTAATCTATAAATCTGAAAACAGGAAACAAGCTGTAATAATCCATAATTATTGTAAGTTACAAAATTCATTCATTAAATCATGATGTGGAGGTGTCAGTGTTGGACTGGGGTGGACAAGGTCAGAAATCACACGACACCAGGTTATAGTCCAACAGGTTTATTTGGTGTCGTGTGATTTCTGACATTTTTTAAGTGGAATTAACGTAAATGAGCACATTTAGGCACATCTTTGATGTTCCATTTGATAACACTGGGGTTTCACCTCATGACTCTTGTCAAAGAATTTGTTAATCACTCAATGATGCCAAATTCAGTGAGGGATAAAAGTGAACAAGGATCACAGGAATTTAACGATAGCATTAAAAGTAAAAGGCAAAGAAATTTGTATTTAGAAATGATTGCAAGTAATGACAATAGATTTAATCAAGAATCATTTTGAAAAAATATGCCTTAAAGTACAAAAGTAACCGATTAACTGATTTTAAAAAGTAATTGTTGATCTTTACCCTGAGTAAGCATCATCTTTTTTACGTGTAAAATCGTAAAGCTGTCAGGTGCAGTCAAAGATTGCTGAAGTTAGGGGAAATTGAGTCATTCTATGCCACCCCCACCCCCACAGACATACAATTTTACCAAATTCCATTTTACATCATACAAACTATATCTTCCTTTGAGAAGACTTGATCCAATTCTTAATAGATATGGGCATGTAGTAGGAACCTCCCAAAGGGAAGTGGCAATATGGTCAGAAATGTAGAAATGTAAACAGTGCTGTTTTAAGGTTGGGGTGAAATAGAGTACCAAACAGTTTCACTTTATTGTGTGTGGATTAATATCTGATCTGATTAATATCTTTCTAGTGCTTGACATTGACACTGGATGCCATAAAACAGAAAAACAATGCAAAAGTATTAGGTTAACTCAAAGCCACTATATTACAAGATTTATTTCACTCTGTTTTCAAACAAACCAGACGAAGCTGCATGTTTTATTTTTCATCATTGATTTTTCGCACTGACCAAACTGAAAAATGTAAGAAATAATTCCTTTCAAAAATTTCTAAACACTCATTCTTTAGTTGAACCATGCTTGATTGAAATATAACTGAGGGAATGGTATATAATTTTTTTCATAAGTGTTATTTTTTAAAAGCAAGTTACATCAAAAAGTTGTTTACTGCATATGACAATAATGTTTCAATGATCCATTATTTATTCATTGTTGTGTTTCCTAGGTACCATATATTGGAAAACGAATGCACCACACCTGCCCTTGTTTGCCAAATCTCACTTGTGTGAGGTTTGAAGATGGCTACTACAGATGTTTACCACAGTTCAAAATTGAAAATGTCTTCTTTTAGCAAATATAAACATCACTGTCATCTTCATTTTGTGAAATTGTAGTCAGGCTGATTGTTTAAATTTAAGTAAAGACATGTTGTGCTGGAGTATTTTACCCATTTGTCCATCACCTTTTGGAGTGTGTCTAAATGTACTTGCTGTTACAAATTTCTGTTCATAACAGAAGGAACTTTTCCTTTGTTTCTCATATAAAGCAAACATTAATACAAAATAAACATTCTTTGGGATTCTCTGGGAAGGAGGGCATCAATAATAGAGTGCTATGGATCATGCAAAACAGCCGCACTCCCAGGTCAACATTGTGAGTGTGCCATTTCACAAAGGCATTTCAACTGCTTTCATTTTCATCACCCATAGGTACTAGTAGACAAGTTGTCAAGCTTTTCCACTTCAAAGAGTATTGTTAAGGAACTAATTTGCAAGCAGTGTAATCTTTTACATCTTTTCCAGTGATTTGAAATCAAAATATCCACAGGTGGAAAACTGGACCTTCTTATTAAAAACACTTATTTTGATAATTCACTCATTTATTAATAAAACTAGATGAAGTTAAAACTTCTAAATACATCACCAAGTACTTTGTAACATAATAAATAAGAATAAAGAAATGATTACATTCTATTACACTGCCTGGTCGGTCTGGTTCATAGAAGACTCTAAATTGTTCAAATGATTTTTATCAGAAACCTGCGCTGAAACTTAATTGTTGGAATTTTGAGTGCATTTTCGGTGTTATTTCCTGTAAGAGATGGATGGGCAGCATTCCTTGTCTCCAAACAGGAAATTCAATTGGAAGGGCTCCTGATAGTAACTTAGCCTACTTGCTTAAGAAAGCAAACACAAGGGTATTGTCAAAAATCATGTTCAATCAGAGGAGGAATCCACTCTACTTCTACTTTTCAGTTATGTTTTATAGATACAATCTTATGCTGGTGAGTGATGCATTTACAGAAACAGGATTTTCCTGTTTCAACTACTCACATACCTTTCTTAAACAATAGTTTCCATCATGAATATAAGTTATACAAATGATGACATTGCCCTTTTACATCGCTTATACTGACTGCAAATTTAATAAATTTGGGCAAGTTCCATATGGTCCTCAATAGCTTATTTTCTCAACGATTATCCTGATAAAGTTATTTTGAGTGACAATCCCTGCAGAAAATCTGATATAAGAGGTACAACAGGTGTTCTTGTCAGCTTCAGTTTTTAGTGTTGTCAGAGACAGGAGGTTGTGATCGTGATTGGGGCAGTATAGGGATTAACAAGGTAGAGGTGATAAAGCCTCAGGCTTTGTAATTGTCCAAGAGGTTAGAGGGGCTTGCAGCTGATACAGAGGAAAGCTAGCTGCAACGTGAATGAGCAAACTGACCATGACGGCAAAGCAAGGAGACTCAATATGAATGTTTTAGAATGTACAGGAATGTAGGAATTGTTGCAAATGTAGTAGGAGGGAACAAAGTAGTCAGTGGAATAAACAGAATACATTGCAATCAAAGGCAAGAACCTGAAAGACTGCATTGCTCTCCAGTGTCAAAATCCAAGACATCTGTCCTGGGTTGGGAAGAAAAAAAGGTGGGAGTGGGAGAATCTAGTTGTCATGATTCACAGAGTACCAATGGAACACGTAATTTGAAGAAAGACATCTTGCTTAAGGAGTATGAGTAGCTAGGGACTAAATCAGAAAGAAGAACTACAAATGATTATTAACAGAGATAGTAGGAACTGCAAATGCTGGAGAATCCGAGACAACAAGGTGCAGGGCTGGATGAACACAGCAGGCCAAGCAGCATCATAGGAGCAGA